AAATTTATTCAAAATTAAAACTGGGTGATAAGACTCAAAGAGACTAAGATGACTCCGCGGTGCAGTTGTTAAGGTATTGGCTTCGGCGTGGGGGGTCGTGGGTTCGTTCCCAACACGGGATAACTATTTGTGTGACGTACAGATAGTTGTTTCGCATCTGGGTGTTTGTCCACGTGAACTATATGCTTGTAAAACGTCCTTACAACACAGTATAATCACTACATAGTATAAAACAAAGTCGTCCCGCTGTCTGTCTGTCCCTATATATATCTAAAGTAAAAAAAGCAAAAGAGATGCTTTTAATGAAATTACAATCACAAAATAGTGCCCTATCGATTATACACATTAATATCCATGTTTTATGCAATAACTAATTTTATTTGTAAGAAAAATTCCCGACTGGACTTCTACTTAAAACTGTATTACGGAAATTTGATTAAATCGATAAAAAAAAATTGTAAAAATAATTACGAAATAAAAATAATCCCGCTCAAAATCGATACTCGAATCCATACCTACCTGAAAATTGTCCCGCTTCGTAGAATAAAGTCATACCACACTCGAGACACTGACGATATTGACATCGAGAAACATCGATAGTCCATAAGCACATCACTATTATAGCATCAGGCTATTACCAATTGCACTGTACTTGGTACTTAACAGGCATGATATGTTTCAAGTTCGATTCACAAACCCAATGGCCTAGTCCCAAAAGTATTAGCCGACTTAGTCAATGGCACCGTACTCAATTCTGACTCTCTCTCGCATTTCCCACTGTGTACTGTTAATGCTTAGTCACTTTAGTAATTGTAAAGCCGTAATTATTGACGGAAATATTTCAAAAATAAGACGATCGCAGAGTTTAGACATCCTATTTCAGTAGACCTCAGTAGATTCGAGTCCAAATCCGAACGCGTGACCTTAGCGAACTCACTCAAATTTCTCTCAGCTCGTATGTCGCTCCGGGCAAACAGTGAGGTCTGCCCGCGACCCTGCGGCATCAATCACCCCCGAGCCCCCCACCCCCGTTGACAGCCCCCGCGATTTGTCAACCGTCGAGTTTGTTTATGCTCCACACGCTTGCCCGGGGGCAAAGTGTGATTGGTTTAGAACATCACTTGAAATCATTACTCAGTTATAAGTTAACTGTGTTGTAACGGCTTTCATTCAGTTAGTTTTTATCATATAATTTACAGTATTGATTATCGTGTCATACTTATTAAGCTCTGCAGTGAGTTATGGCACATGAAACAAACACAACATAACGCTACAATGGGCTATGGACATGTAAAGTATAGATTTCCGACGGAGTAGACAAAGATTAGCTATCTTAATAATTTTGATCGTTTTATTTTTTTAATTTTTAATTAATTTTCAATTAAGCTCGATCAAAAATCGACAAATTCCCAGTGGATCCAATCCTTAGTGACCTTATGTCGAGGGTAAATTTCTACAGCTACTACTATCATCTCTTCCATCCGTGCAAAACTCATGTTTTGAAATATATTAGCGGAAAAGCTTCCTCGACTATAGATAAATTCTTGGACGGCTGAGATATAAAGCTAAAGAAGTTTTTGCATATGATGTACCGACAATCTGTTTAATTTTTCCCCATTCGTCGTTTTGAAAAAAGAGAAAAAGAAAGTGGATTTTTAGACCATTTCAAAAAACGGCGATTCATATAAGTAAGACTTTAAAGTTTTAACCAACTTTAAGATACATTTGTATGGACATTCGTTATAACTAAGGAAAGTGACTGAGGCTTGGTTAGTATGAAGAAGATAATAGGGAAGCTAAACATAGATGACATATTTTTATTTTTTATTAAACTTAACATTAACCATTAGCATGCATCTTCCCCGTTTGAGACTCTTTAAAAAGACAGCATGTATCAAAAAACAGTATAAGCTAATACTTACGTATTAAACAGCATCATTTCAACAACAAGCATTTCACCGCTTCCATTGGCGCCTTAACTTATGTGCCAATTTCGACCTCACTAAATCACCAATGGAACCCGCTGCCCAAATACTGCCTCATAAATTTTGGAATAATCTAGATTAGTTGCTTCGGATAACGGCTAAAAATAACAATTTTTCGGCATTGACACGCGCATCCGTTAAAAATTATATCCTTTTAAATGGAGTTCTAAAGAGACATTAACTTTTTATTTATATACGTTATGTATGCAACTAGTCTACTCCTATAAGCCGGGATGAACAAGACAGGAATCTTACTAGAAATAAAAGTTATATTCTTATAATGCTTTTGTAAAATTTCGTTTAAAGATACATATATTAAGCCAAATGTTAATGATACATAAAAGTAAGGTAAAGTATCAGCCTATACATGTTCCACTGCTGAGCAAAGGCCTCCTCTGTACAGAAGGTATTAGGGTATAGTCCACCACGCGGATTGGCGGGCTTCACATATCTTCGAAATATATTTTTTTATTATTATTTCAAAAATATGTAGGTTTCCTCACAATGTTTTCCTTCACCGCTGAGCACGTGATAATTCAGCACTTGAAATTAACAATTTCATTGGTGCTGGCACCGGGGATCGAACTCAGGTTGCTCGAGTAATATGAATTAAAGGCGAGCGCCCGGACACTGAGCTATCACTGAGCTTATACATACTTTAATTTTATTTAATTACCTTTTCTATGAAATGGCATTATTAAATTTTTCTCAAGACATAATCTAATATATAAAATTCTCGTGTCACAGTTTTCGTTACCATACTCCTCCGAAACGGCTTGACCGATTTTGATGAAATTTTTTGTGCTTATCCGGTATCTATGAGAATCGGCCAACATCTATTTTTCATCCTCCTAAATATTAGGGGTAGTCCACCCCTAAATTTTTTTTTTATTTTTTAGACAAAATTTTTAATTTCTATTTTTTTATGATACAGCATACAAAAATACATACAAGCCTAAATTTTCACCCCTCCACGCAGACGTAGTCGCGGGCAGCAGCTAGTTATGAAAATAATAATTTATCTTATGCAAAAAATACAGCGCCTTTCAAAATACTGTGAGCAATATTACGGCAACGCGTACTTGTTATTATTTAAAGAAAGTTGTGACAATATACATAAAAAATTAAAGATGTTTAGGCACAAAATAACTAGAAGACCTAAAGGCTACTTTAACTTACAAACAGCAACATTGCCATTATAGCTATTTTTAAACAAAACGGGCCAACGCTTGACCGCAATACCCGGTACAAAGTGTAGATGAACTTCATTGTATTGAACACAAGGGCCTGTAAAATGATTGGAAAACTATTCTAGCATACTTCTAACTTAGTACCATCGAGGCTCTTTTTTGTTCTATTAGTATCGCGTGGTTTTTTAAGGCTTTTGTGTGTCTAGTCACTTATATTTAATTTTAATACGTTGATCGTGGTATTTGGATAGAATTTTATCTTTTAACATGAAATAAAATAAATAAAACTCAACATGTTTAGATCATGCATTCAAGCTGTAATTGACACCTGTTCTAGCGATTACTGCACTTTTTTGAATAAAACTATTTTACCTTAGAGGGCGATAAAATTTTCAAAATAATAGTTGCAAATAGTTATAAATAGGTAATTCACACTGCAATATGTCAATATGTCAACAGAGAGTATAAATTCCCCACTTGCGACTTGTACTAGCCAATTTTAGTTTATCCAAAGCTCGAGTTTGCGCGTCATGTAGGTATCGATACTTAGTTCACGCATCATCATTAAGAATCGGGATCAAATCCGTTGTTAACTAATTTATTACTACTACTACTGCACGCGAATTCACAGTGTCATGAACGAGGCTTAATTAATATACGACGTACACGACCGGACCTTGTAGCGAGTTAATTTCGAGCGAAAAAAAAAGCTTTTAACGCAACCCATCGTTTCCCCTTACACGTTTCATTTGTCTGCTTCGTCGCGTTCGTGTTAAGGGACACTCGGGTGCCACAGGGCACGAGTGCCGCTATTATTCATTTGTATCGGGTGATGTTCGGGCTACCGCTGGGTGAGTGCCGTGCCATTATTCATTTTTGTCCATCGGAACGCGAGCGCCGTGAAAACATAACACAGCAAAGTGAACACATCGAGTATCGGATGTTTGAACTTGTTCGTGCGGCGTTTTGCATTGCTGCGTGACAAATAGAAAGCGCAGTAACGCTTTCGGTTAGTGTGAAACACCGAAAACAATATGTGCCCGACGATGCGTATGCGAAATGTAAAAATATATTGGTGTAAAACCCTGGGCTGGATTTTCGCTCGTTTCATTTTATCGTCACGCAATTTGTGTCTACGTTTATGCGATCACAGCTAATTGATTTTACTAAATGTGGTAACTTGCTATGGGCATTTATTGAAAGTCTAACTTTGAAAACCTATTTTCATTCGATTAACGACCATTTTAATGTGTGTATATATATATATATATATATATATAAACTGCATTAATATCCGTTTAGTAGTTTTAAATATCTAAGCATACATAGTGTAACTCGCACCCCCCCTTTTAATGTGTATATATAATTATAACTTATATATTTTTTCCCCCATTATATGAATAAATCATATAACATCATTACGTGACCAGGATAAATTATTGATCTTTCTATAGGATCTTTCTAAAGGTAATAATTAGCCGTATGAAATATTATTGTGATCGTCATGTTCGGTAGGACCGCATTTACGTTGTGTTTATTTAGTAACTTGATTCTTTTAGGTGGATCTTGGATAGATAAATATTCACTAGTTGTGGTATAAGCCAGAGATAATGCTAGATTGCTTTCTTATTAACTAATCCCGACTCGCTTGAGACGGGCTCAGAGTATATAGTATACTCCCTCTCACGCTTGTAAAGGGCTCACAATATAATTTTAAAATAATATCCCTTCTCTCTTGAAAAGGGCTCACATCAATTTTACACACCCGATACAAGTCTACGGCTCCCCCACATTTTAAAAAAATGTAGGGAAGGCACACGGCTCCATGAAAACACTCACCAACGCCGTGTGCGGTGAGCGCCAACCAACATATTGCGCCCCCCCCCCCCCCCAGAAGAGGGACAAAAAGTTGGGGAAAGGACCGAAGTCCATTGCAAAGCTGTTTTACCAGCATAAAGAGGGCTTGGCCCCTTGGCAGTGCGTAAGCACAAACTTTGACCGAAGTCGCGCATGTCAATGCGTGTAACGTCATACAAGCCGACGACAAATCCAGTCTTCGTGAATGTACGTCAATACGGTTTTGGGCATGTGTTAAAGATCAGGCACTCTGGCCCTATGATATAATAAGCCCTCCGTAAGCGCCACCACTTTTGCCAGATCGCCGCGACTGCAGACGTGATTGTTAGTGTTTTGGCATCACCACCATTAAAAAGGTTAGCACGACATTTCGTCGCAGAGCGCGTAGCCCCAAGGGTATGGTTAAAACGTTGCACGGTATCGCCGCAGCCTTGAGAGGTTTTCTCCCGCCAGCTACCATCCACATGAGGTAAACGCATATGCTCCACCAACCATTGAAATAGTCAGATATAGCCATAGTTGTGATTTTTATGTTTAGCCATCAGAAGGGTTTATAATTGGCAACATATATTTATTTGTCAGTGTCTCTGACGTTGAGTATAGTGTATTTTCGATCAAGTTTGTCTCACCCACCAGCAAGTTGCCATTATTCGTTCGAACGGTGGGAACTTTACTGAGATTCGTTAATAATGATAAAACGTATAAAGAGGTCAGACAGTCTGCAGTTCCGTCATCAGAAACCCGACTTGGACAAATCTACTGAGATGTGCATCAAACCGAGACGCAGACTCGGCCATTATGAATAGCGTCGTCTCCCAAGCAAATGTCGCAAGACGCAATGTCACCAAATGCAACATGCATCAATACAACTATCGCAGGTCAACACGCCAACATACAGCCTATCCGCATACACAGCAGACATCATCACCTCGAACCTCCATCAACCAGACTCATACGATGCAATGATATTAGGCGCAGATCACCCCGCAAATACCACAAGACGCATTACTGCATATAGCCGCATGCATCAATGTGACTATCGCGTAGGTGGCACACCCTCACACCACACCAATATAACTCCGATCAACTTCGGCTCCAAAGTTTAGAATATACTCTCGGAACACACGAAGTGTCCAAACATACTCTTTCACGATCCGAATGATAGTCGACGTATCATAGCGTAAACACTAAGACGCCAACCACCAACGGACCCCCACCCAAGCCAAGTAATAGCCAACGTATCATAGTGGAATACACTAAGACGCAAGCCACCACCAGACTCCCCAAAGTCAGATGATCAGTCGACGTATCATAGTGCAACACACTAAGACGCCAACTACCACCAAACTCTTACTATGCCGAATGACAGCCAACGTATCATAGTGATGGTCACTAAGACGCCAACTACCACCAGCTATCGATGATATGTCCACCACTGAAGACATATCCATTCATGGTTCCACGTTTACCGTAGACCATATCGTCGTACAGAAGTACCACGCAACTCCATAGTAATATGTCTTATAAAGTCCCAAGTCATTCATTGCTCTTCATTATATTTATATATTCATTATTTTTTCTCTGAGCCTTCACATATTATTACTTTTATCCATTAGAGACCTTACTTCCATATGATATTGGTATGGGACGTTCATACAATGTACTTTGACTATAGTACTAAGAGTCGCGATCGACCTCTGTACTTACATATGTGCGGTCATACAAATGTGTCCCCGCACGGTACATAATACTTCCCTTAGAAATCACTAAGTATGGAATTGTATTTAATGGACATAATAGTGATCGTATCTTGCTATATTTTTAATAAATATCCTTTTTTGAGTATTTTAAGTGATTTTTAACTATTTTTTATCAATTTTTGGTAATATCATTTTCTCATACTAACACTTATATTTCTTTAATTTAAGTATATATTATTAACTTTTATTGTGATTAAACGTTCTTAAACGTTTTATTTTCATCTTAATTGATCTTTATTATGACTAATTAATAATAATATTTATTATTATTAATAGGTCGTTACAATCCACCCCCAAATTTTACATTTATGACTTGCAAAATAATGTCATTAATGGAAAATTTTTCCATTTTATAATTATATTTGCTTTCTGTTTAATAATAATAAATATAAGGGAATGGCCGCCCCAACTCCCCTTCAATCACACTTATACTGTGATATAGGTTACCATTTTCATTTTGGTTCTTTGTTAAAATTGTCCATCTTTTTTATTGGACAGGTGACTGTTGTCTTTCTTAATTATTATAATCATATATGATTTGACAAAAGTTATTTGTCTTACAGATCATTGTTTTGGTCGGGATATTTCACATAATAAATGTGATTGAGCCATTCTCCCTGACCCAATTTCCCATCTTTATTAAAATAAACAATGTTTGTATATTTACAATATTTACAGTGCTTCTTATAATTATGGTTAAGACATTTAAGTCTTTAAAATAAAAATCAACATTAACATAACATTAATATGTCTTTCAGACATTCTTTAAAACTTTAATATTTGAGAGGGCGACTTAACCCTTTTCCTTTTATTTAAAATACTTTAATAAATGTATTGCATTAAAATTTCCTATTATTTTATTTGTTTGAGGATCTGCCAAAGTATATACATTATTAAATGGTATAGCTGCCACTATATATGGCCCCTCATAAGCCAAATCAATCTTGCTCATAACTTTGTTTTTCTGATCGGATCTATTTGATCTTCGAATTTTAACTAAATCACCAATGTGATATTTAATTAATCTATTTCTTTTGTTAAATGTGCTATTTCTCACAAGACTAGCACGTTTTAGATTTTTACGAACTTGAGCTCTTATCTGCTCTACGTTATATTGATGTTTTGACTTTGAAATAGCATTATCGAAAGTCATCTCATTTGATTCTCCATAGAGTATCTCACATGGAGTATACCCTGTACTATCATGATATGAGTTGTTATATAACTCTTCTAATTTTGGCAATAAAATAGCCCAATCTTTATGATTAGTATGACAAAAAGTTCGGAATAATCTTCCGAGCTCTTTATTAACACGCTCCGTTGTATTTGGTCTAGGATTTCTTACAGTGGTATAAAATTGGCTTTATTCCCATTTGTCTCATGGATTGCCTCCAATGATTATTTATAAATTGTTTTGCATTATCGGTCATTATTACTTTTGGTTTTATAATATTCATAAAGTTCTTTACTTTAGTTACGACTGCCTTGCCTGTTGCTCTCTTTAAAGGATATAATTTTACAAATTTACTAAATGAATCTTGTATAACAAATATAAACGTGTACCCAAAGGTACCTGATACGAGTGGTCCATATAAGTCTGCCATAATTATATCGCCAATATTATTTGTAATAATTGATTGGCAAGGTCCCACATATGATATGTTATTTTTTCTTGCTAACTGACATATATGACAAACTTTAATTTGTCTTTTTACATCTTTGGTTAGACCTTTCCAAAAGAATCTATCTCTTATGTATTTTATTACTTTATATGCACCTTGATGGCCCATTTCGATATGTACTTGACTTATTAAGTCCTCTCTCAATAATTTTGGCAAATATAAAACCTCCCTTAAGTCGGTTTTATAATACAACATGTTATCTTTTAAATTATATCTTTCTAACTGTTTACAGTTAGCAATATCAGAACTTTGTAATGCTTTTAATTTTTCAATTATAGCCAACGACTCTGAATCTTGGTTTTGATAGAGAGATAATGACTTTAATTTCTCTATCAATTCATTATTAGGTTCAAGTTCAGTGTAAGCAATTTCAAAACTATCGCTTTTATTTTCTTGTATTAAATCGCCACCAGGAGGATATCGTGAAAGCACATCTGCAACAATATTATCTTTACCCGATATATGTTTTACTATATAATTGAATTGTTCTAGGAACAATATCCATCTGGTAATCCTACTATTGAAAAGCTTCATATTATTTACAAACAATAATGCTTTATGATCTGTTAATATAATAACTTTACTACCTCTAAGGTAGGTTTCAAATTTCTTTAAGCAACTTATAACTGCATAAAATTCCTGCTCGGTAACAGACCAATTTAACTCTGCACCTTTTAAAGCTTTACTGTGATAGCCCAATATTCTCATTTCATTATTATCATTTAGTTGATATAAAACTCCGGCCAGACCCACACCAGAACAGTCAGTTTGTAAATAATATGGCTTGTTAAAATCTGGATGATGTAACTCTATTGTTTTAATAAATGACTGTTTAACATTGTTAAATGCCTTTTGTTCTTTCTCACTCCATTGGAACTTATGTCCCTTTTTAAGGAGTTCACAAAGTGGTAAAATTCTTTCACTGTAATTCGGTATAAACCGTCTATAAAAATTACATAAGCCTAAAAAGGCTCTCAATTGCTTTATCTTTTTAGGTGCTGGAAATTCTTGTATAGCCCGTATTTTATCGGGATCTGTTTTAATTCCGTCTGTTGAGATAATAAATCCCAACATTTTTATTTGTTTACAAATAAATTCGCATTTTTCCAAGTTACATGTTAATCCAGCTTTATCTAATTTATTTAAAATAATATCAATATGTTCCAAATGTTTTTTCTAGGCTGCCTGTTGTTATTATTGCCAAATCATCAAGATAATTAACACAAAATTCTTGGACTTCCGGTCCTAATATGAAATTCATTGCTCTACTAAAACTTCCAACTGAAGTTTTTAATCCTTGTGGCAATACATTATATACATATGACTTTCCATTGAATGTAAAGCCAGTATACTTTCTACCATCTTTATTTATAGGTATTTGGAAATATGCATTATTTAAATCGATGGTAGTTATATAATTCGCACCATGAAATGAATTTAAAACATCTAATTGAATAGGTGGTTTCTCTGTTTCCGCCACCATTTTCTTATTAATGCTCCTTGCATCCAGCAACACTCTTATGGAGCCATCCTTCTTTAATGTAAATGTTAAAGGACTACTGTATGGCGTTGAAGCCCTTGTAATTATACCAGCCATCTCCATTTCATTTAACTTCTCTTCCATTTTCGATCGATATGCATATGGAATTGGATATGATCTAGTAACAACTGGTTCGTTGTCAATCATTTCTATTTTATGTTCATAACAATTTGCCCTACCCAATTTACTTGAAAATACATTTTTATGCTTTTTAATAACATTAATGAGCTTTGCCTTTTCTGATTCTACCAGAGTAGAACCTATTTTAATGTTCGATATAACATCAGTAACATCTTGCTCGAGGCAATTACTTGATAGAATGCGTTGTTCATTATCCACAAATGGCATAAAATAAGTTTTGTTTTTACTTTTAATTTGAATTCCCATTTTATTATTTCTTAAATCAATTATAATTTTATTTTTCTTAAGCCAGTCAAAACCCAATATTAGGGGTCTTATTAAATTATTAATGATTAGTGTCTGAGTCT